CCCAGAAGCCTTCCTCATGCCTCTTTCCCTCCTTCCACCCAGCCTCCCCATCAATCATGGAAACCACTATCCTGCCTCTGATAGTAAGCACTTGCTTTTGAGTTTCACCACCTAACCATACATCCCTGTACAATATGGTTTTGTTCTGCTTTAATTTACATAAATTAAAACAATACAAATTATTTTGTGTCTGGATTCTTTCACTCAATATTATGTTCAATTTTTGTATCCATTCTACTATTGATGGACATTTAAGTTATTTCCAGTTTCTTGCTGTTACAAGTAATGCTACAGGGAGCATTTAAATGTGTGTCCCGGTACATTAGCCAAGGATTTCTCTTGGGTATTTTCCTAGAAGTGTTTCCTCATATGGTCTACGTATGCTTTGATAAAGAAGGCTAAAATGTTTTCCAAAGAGATTGTGCCAATTTACCCTCCCACCAGCAGCATATGAATTGCTGATATGAGCTAACATAGCAGCAGCTATATGTGCTGAAATGAGTATATGAACTACTGATATGACCCCCTATCCTTGCTAACACTTGTCATTGTTAGACTTCTTAATTTTAGCCATTCTGGTGGGAGTGTAGTGGTATTACATTGTGGTTTAACTTCTGCATTTCCCTGATGACTAAAGAGATTGAGTACCATCTCAGGTGTTATTAGTCATTTGGATTTCTTCCTTTGTTACACACCTATTCAAATAAGGCCTCTGACTAATGGGTAGTCTGCTTTTTCTTATTGTTTTGTTGTTCTTTATACATCCTGGATATAACTCCTCTGTTGTCTGTTTCTTTTTCCACTCTGTGTCTTGTGATTTTCTTCTCAATGGAAGTAATTATCATAAAAGTCAGGAGAGTAGTTATCTTTGGAAGTAGGGGGATTCTGGAATGCTGACTATGGGTATTTTCTAGACCTATATAGTGAAAAATCACTGAGCTGTACATGTCTGTTTTGCACACTTTTCTGGATATATGTTATATTTCACAATAAAAACATTTTTTAAAGATAGGCTGAATCTACGACCCACTAACTCCACCCCTATGCATATAGTCAAGAGAGGGGTGGACACATGTACATGACAAGACATGAACAAAAATGTTCATGGCAGCATTGTTTATAATTCATATTCTATCTCACCAAAAGACCTAAAGTTACTAAAAATTGATAACAATTTGTTTTGTGGGACACCTTTCATGAACTTAAAAGGAGAAAATAAGAATATGTTCTCAGCTGCTTTTATCTGCATAAAGAAACTCATGCAGAGAAAACTAACTAACTTGGTTATATGTATTAAAGAGAGATGAACAGATAGGAGAAAGATGGGTAAGAGAATTTAGACTATATAGCTTTGTATATTTTAAATTTTTATATACTTTTTAATTTTTTATTTTTGAGCCATGTGTCTATTACTTTTTAAAAATTAGATTAAAAAACTATTACTAATGTCCTTAGAGTGATAAGATGCTACATCCATAAAACAAAAATAGTATGCTATTATAAGGGAATATCCTGAAAAGAAACAGAGCTATTTAAAATAAAAACTTATGTATGGTTGTCATCATAACAGATGCCATCTTGGGCCTCTGCAGTTCCTCCTGTCCTTCCAATGACCCTGCCTAGAGCTGTACTGTGTGGTAAGCCTCTTCTCTGTCACCAACGGCTTTGTAGTTAATAGATATTGTTTCACGATCGTTAGGTCTGGTGGCCTCTATGCTCTGGTAGTCTTTAAACAATAATGAAGGGCTTCCCTGGTGGCGCAGTGGTTGGGAATCCGCCTGCTATTGCAGGGGACAGGGGTTCAAGTCCTGGTCCAGGAAGATCCCACATGCCACGGAGCAACTAAGCCCGTGTGCCACAACTACTGAGCCTGTGCTCTAGAGCCCATGAGCCACAACTACTGAGCCCGTGCTCTAGAGCCCATGAGCCACAACTACTGAGCCCGCGTGCCACAACTACTGAAGCCTGCACGCCTAGAGCCCACACTCCGCAACAAGAGAAGCCCATGCACTACAACGAAGAGTAGCCCCCGCTTGCCGCAACTAGAGAAAACCCACGTGCAGCAACAAAGACCCAACACAGCCAAAAATAAATAAAAATAAAATAAATTTATAAACAATAATGAAGACCTTCACTGACATATTCCCAGTGCTCATAAGACCAGTTACCCATTCATAAATCTTGACTTAGGAATGCACTTCCTGTTTCCAAGCACGTACCCCCATACCCTAGGTTAACTATGAAATTGTCCCAATCGTCCCTCAGCTGTGCGGAATGCAGCTGCAAATACTTCTGGATCATCGCCCCCTTGATCCCACCCTGTGAGTAAGTTACCCTATAACAATAAACTGATCCATTGATTATATGGAGCTGCCTGCCTCATTTTTCAGTCTCAAGATACCTTCCCAGTTTGGTGGGCACTTTTCATTGCTTCCATCCTCCAACAATATAGAACAGCATTAATGAGAGACATAGAAGAAAACCTGGGAGGTGAAGTTTAAAAAAGAACTAGAAAGGTGAGCAAAAGAAAAAGAAATGGAAATCAGTAGGACAAAGAATTTAAAATATGGAGGATCAACAACTGAACAAGAATAGTTTTTTGAAAAGCAGAGAAAACGTGTGTATGGGTAGAAAATGACTAGACTGGAAACAGACTTGTAAAATTCTACACAAAAATGTTTCCAACCTAGAATTCTATACCCAGCCAAAAAGATAAATTTAGTGTCAGGGTCAAATAAATATATTTCCATGGTATTTATTACTTTTTTTTACTTCTATAAGTTTATTTATACAATTATATATATTATATAAATACATTTTTGCATGACATTTTCAGACATGCAAAGCTTCATAAAGTTCACCTGTCATGCATCCATTCTCAGGGACATATTGGAGGATGTGCTCCAAAAAATTAGGGGGTAAACCAAGAAAGAGGAAGACACAGGATCCAGGAAACAGGAAGGAAGGACAGGATTCCCAGGAAAGGAAATCTGACACAAGACAGAGGTAAAAAGGATTTCCTGAGGGATGGCGAACAGAACACACCAAGGTCATAGCTGTGTGTGAAGCTGAGAGAGCAACCAAACCAGCCTTCAGTGAATCAGTAAGGTCCAGGAGAGATTTCTTCAAAGAGAAGACATGATACCCAGAGCTGAGATAGCCCCCCCTCCATTACTAGCTGTGTTAACTTGGGCCAGATAGTTTTTCTTTATGCCCCAGTTCCCCCTTCTATAAAGTGGGAATAACAATGGTACCTACTTCTCCAGGTTGTTAGGAAGATGAGTTAGTATATGTAGTGTGTGTGTAACAGTGCTGGGCATATAGTAAACATTATATGAGTGTTTATAATTATTGTCACTATGATCATTACCTAATATGTTTGAATATACAGAGTGGAGATTTAAACAACTGGAAAGAATTTGGAGTTGAATTATTGATATGTATATAGTAAAGCAAAGAAATGACTAAACCAGAAAAAAAATAGTTAATTCCAGGCAAAAGGAAAAGTTGTACAGAAATAGTAATCACAGCATGGACACTACATGACTTAACTATAAACAGTCACAATAATAAACCCTGACAGTAGATCTAATAAAAACAGTGATAGCTAGAGGCAAATGTGTATATGAGTGGAGGTGCAAGGAAAAGCTGAACCTCTACCTTCCATAGTGGAAAGTCAATAGATAATGCCCAAAACGAAAAAAAAATAAATCCATTAAAAAGATTAAGAATGCTTGCTTCTAGGGAGTTGGAATCTGGGAGAAACAAAGCAGGGAAGAGCCACTGTTTTAAGAAGACTTCAAAAACTACTTGGCACCTTTTGCCACTTATAAATAAAACTAAAAACTAATTTCAAATTACAAAGTGGCAAAAAATATTCACAAAAATATATAAGAAAGATAAAGGGTTATTAACCTTAATATTCAAAAAAAACTGTAAACATCCATAAGCTAAAATAAATAACTCAGCAATGGACAGGAAAAGGAAATTCACATAAGGGAAATAAATCCAATAAAAACCCCCTGATTATGTTGCCTGGTTAAAAAAAAAAGTCATACAAATTCAAATAATGAGATATTATCTTTCATTCTGGATGAATTCCAGTCCCTGGGCACCTCTTCTTCTTCCTTACCTCACAGGAGTTGTCACACCCCCCTGTAGTCAGGGCCAGGGATGGCCCAGGAGCGCACCGGTTGGCTGGCATCTTCCCCCTGGGCCTAAGCACCCGGGCTCTCTTGCTGACAACTCCACTCTTCCCAGGAACCCGAGGTCAGGTGGGCACCTGTGGACTCAACCAGAGCTGCTGGGGCCTGAAGGAAGATCCTGCAGCCTTCACTATGGGGTCTGGCCCAGGGGCTCCACAGAGACTCCAAGAAACCTGGAAAGACAGTGTCCACTTGGTCAGGCATTCAACATTCACCCCACAAGCGCTTCCTGAGGGCACCGAAGTATAGCTCACGACACTGGATACTGTGGAGTAGACAAAGCCACATCAACACCGATTCAAGTTATTCATTACAATGGAATATGAGCAAGACCATGAGATTTAGACTAAAATTAATAAAAGCTTCATTTCTAGCTCTGCCAACCTTTAGCTATATGAATATGAAAATGTTTCTTCAGACTTTTTTCCCAAAACAAATCAAAACTATTTATTTCAAGGGGCTGTGAAAATTAAATGAGATGATGTTTTTAAGGCACTCAGCACCAGACTGGCCCAGGTAAACATTTAATTCATATTAGCAAGTACTGTTATTACAAGGACTCATGTAATATACAGAAGGAGGTACCTCATTTAATTTGCACAACAATCACGTCATCCATGTGTTGCTGTAGTTATTATTATCTCATTTTATGCATACAGAAACAGAGGTTTGTGATGTTAAATCAAACTCAGTCTACCTGGCTTTCAAGTTCACATTCTCAGTGGTACATCACATGGTACCTTTTATGTGGGAGGCTCAAAATAAACATGGTTCTATTTAACAAATGTTGAAAACATGACCGTAATTTGGAATAAAAATTAAAAAAAAAAATGTTAAGTAAAGTTTCTTAAAACAGAAGAGATATGCAATAAGGAAAATACTAGTAGCCTGGGACTAAAATTTTTAATTACCTCAAAAACATCCAGAGGTGAAAAATGTTTCTCCTATTGAGGGAACTAGGGAGGGGAGGGTGTCTCTGTGTCCAAATTGAGGTACAATTTCATTACGATCAACTAATACAGGCACTACAGATTTAGTCATTCTTGCTGGGAAAGGGTAAATATCACATAAAATGAAGAGGAACTTAATTAGGACAACAAAAGTAAGAAATGAGATGAAGAGGAAACAACAGAGTAAAAGAAATAAGGAGTAAAATAAAATTAAAGGTATGAACAAATTAAATTTTAAACACATAAAGATGATGTTGTGCCAAAAAAAGAGAATATGCTTTCTTTTCTTACACCCATGGAACTTTTACAAAATTCTATCAAATAACCTGGCCACACAAAAAATCTTGTAGATGTCTGAATGTTGGGAATTGACAGACTACATTCTCTGATTATAGTATAAGATGTTCAACGTCATTAGTCCTTAGGGAAATGTAATCAAAACCAAAAATGTTCTGGGACTTCCCTGGTGGTCAAGTGGTTAAGAATCTGTCTTGCTATGCAGGGGACGCCAGTTTGATCCCTGGTCAGGGAACTAAGATCCCACATGCCATGGGGCAACTAAGCTCGTGCGACACAACTAGAGAACCTGACTGCTGCAACTACAGAGCCCACACACTCTGGAGCCCGCGCACTGCAACGAAGAGCCTGCACGCCACAACAAAAGGTCCTGCATGCCGCAACTAAGACCCGACGCAGCCAAAAAATAAATAAATATTTTTAAAAATCAAAAATGTTCTATTCATTAGGAGACTACTTCATATACACAAAGATGGCAAAAAAAAAGATAGTAACAAGTGTTTGTGAGATGTGAATGAAACTGAGCTCATACATTACTGGTAGAATTGTAAAATGGTGCAGCCACTCTGAAAAACAGGTTGGCAGTTCCTCAAAATGCTACCCATAGAGTTGTCATATGACCCAGCAGTTCCACTCCTAGGTATCTACCAAGAGAAATGAAAACCCATGTCCACTCCAAAACTTGTATACAAATATTCACAGCAGTATTATTCATAATAGCCCAAAAGCAGAAAGCACTTAAATGTCCATCAACTGATGAACAGATAAACAAAATTTGGTGTGTCCATACAATGGAATATTATTTGGCAATAAAAAAAGAAGTACCAATACACGCTATAACATGAATGAACCTTGAAATCATTATCGTACGTGAAAGAAGCCAGTCACAAAGACCACATATTTTATGATTCCATTTATATGAAATGTCCAGAATAGGCAAATATATAGAGACAGAAAACTGATTAGAAGTTGCCTACGGCTGGGGGTAGGGGGTGGCATGAATGGTGAATATCTGCTAATGTGTGCAAGGTTTCTTTCTGGTGTGTTGAAAATATTCTAAAATTAGATTGTGGTGATGACTGAACAACTCTGTGAATGTACTAAAACCCACTGAATTGTATACTTTAAATGGGTGAATCTTAAGGTATTGAATATATATAAATAAGTCTGTTTTATATATCTAAATAAATAAATCTGTTTTAAAAGAAAAGAAACAGGCTTCCTTGGTGGCACAGTGGTTGAGAGTCCGCCTGCCGATGCTGGGGACACGGGCTCGGGCCCCGGTCCGGGAGGATCCCACATGCCGCGGAGTGGCTGGGCCCGTGAGCCATGGCCGCTGAGCCTGCGCGTCCAGAGCCTGTGCTCGGCAACGGGAGAGGCCACAGCAGGGAGAGGCCCGCGTACCGCAAAAAAAAAAAAAAAAAAATACAGCAAAAACCAGTTACCACTAATCTTAAGAAGATAAACACTGTGAATGATGAAAAAGTTAATAGAGTGGAAACAGCTTCTGGAGATATACAAAAGGAACCTGCACATTTCTTAAAAGGCCTTTCTCTTGAACCTCTGCAGAAACAGCAGACTCCTCAGCAGTGTCATAAAAATGAACCAGTTAATGGTGAGGAAGCTACAAGATTAATGGCTCAGCTGTAATACACTGGTGATGTATCAAACTGCCCCCAAAGACCAACAAAGTAAATGTTTTATATAATAAATAAATAAAAACAAAGAAGAGCTAAGTATTCAATCGAGAACGTCAGAAGTAGAAAAAAACCAAAATGAAGCAACCCCCCGAAAGGAAAATAGTAACTAATAAAAACCTTAAATAAGTCAAATAAATATAACAATGGGAGTTTAAAGAAAACAAAGAGCTGGTCCTTTAAAATGACGGATGTCACAGATAACCCCCTAGCAAATGAGATAAAGAAGAGTTTAAAAACATATACACACACACACACACACAGAGAAAGAGAGAGAGCGAGAGCGAGGGAGAGGGAGAGGGAGAGGGAGAGGGAGAGGGAGAGAGAGACAGAATGAGAATCTTTCCCAGATCAGGCAGTGTTTCAAAGTAGTTATTGCGGGATATTATGCATAACTGTATAGCAACATATTTTAATATTGATGTGAAGCAGATGCTTCCCTAGCAAAATGTAAATTAACAAAATTAATACAGGAAAATACAGGTAGAAGAGAATAATGAACGTAGAAGAGACCAGGGAAAAAATGACATAACAGCAAATACAAACAGAAAGACTCTGAAAGGTAAAAAGGAAAGGCAGACAGTCCACAGACCTCAGGGCCTAAGGAACAACACAGCGGTGAGTTCCCTGGGTTTCATTTTCCCTCCCATATATCACAAACAGGGCACTAGAAAAGCTTATAACTCAGAACCATCAATAGCTACAGACAAAAAAAGCTCTAAGAAAAGCCTGCTCCCCTTAATCAAAGGACCAAGAAAAGGGTGTCCTAACTGAACATACCCATTCTACTGCAGCCAAACACTAATAGAATACACATTCTCTTCAAGCACCTGTGCTACATTCTCCAGGGTCATAAAACAAACCTTAATAAATTGAAATCGTACAGCATATGTTCCCTGATTATAACAGCATCAAACTAGAAATCAATAACAGAAAGGTAACAGGAAAGTCTCCAAACATTTGGAAAGTAAACAACACATTTCTATATAATCCATGGATCAAAGGGGAAGTCTCAAGGGAAATTAAAAAGTAATGAATGAAAATCAAAATACAACATATCAAAATTTGTGGGATGCAGATAAAGCAGCATGGAGAGGGAAATTTATAATGCTAAATGTTTATATTAGAAAAGAATTAAGGTATTAAATCAGTAAGGTAAGCTCCCACCATAAAATACTAAAAAAAGAAGAGCAAAGAAAACCCAAAGCAAATAGAAAGAAAGAAGTAATAGATATAAGAGCAGAAATCAATAAAATTGAAAACAAAAACAATAGAGAAAAATCAATGAAAACAAAAGCTGGTTCTTTGAAAAGACCGATAAAATTGGTAATCCTCTAGCAAGACTGACAAAGATAAAAAGAGATAAGACACAAATTACCAATATCAGAAATGAAACAGGAGATATAACTATAGATCCTGCAGCCATTAAAAGAAAAGTAAGGGAATACCACACACCACTTTATGCACATAAATTCAACAACTTGGATGAAATAGTCCAATTCCTCACAAAACAGAGACTCCCACAACTTACCCACTATTAAATATGAAGATACTCTGAAAAGATATTAAATAGATAACCCGGATAGTCATTTGACTACTACAGAAATTGAAGCCATAATCAAAAGCTTCCAAAAGGAAATTTCCAGGCCCAGATGGTTTCACTGGAGAATTCTATCAAATATTTAAAGAAAAATAACATAATTCTACACAATCTCTTCCAGAAAATAGAAGAGAACACTTTCTAACTCATTTATTGAGATCAGTATTACCCTAATACTAAAACCAGAAAAAGAAAGTACAAAAAAAGAAAACTATAGACCAACATCTCTCACGAACTTAGACACAAAAATCCCCAAAAACAAAAGCACTAACCAATCAATTCCTGCAATATAAAAAAAGAATTATACACCACAACCAAGTGAGGCTTATTCCAGGAATGTAAAGCTGATTCAATATTCAAAAATCAATAAGGGCATTCCCCCATATTAACAAGCCAAAGAAGAAAAACCATATAAATTCACACAGTATTGACAAAATTCAACACACATTCATGATAAAAGACACATAGATAGACACATAAATAAATGGAACATAATAGAGAACCTAGAAATAGCCACACAAAAGTATGGCAAATTTATTTTTGACACAGGTACAGAACGAGTCCGTGGAGGAACTACCGTCTTTTTAACAAACGGTGCTTGAGTAATTGGACAGCCAAATAAATGCACCTTGATCTAAGTCTCACACTTTATACAAAACTTAACTCAAAATGTATCATGGACAGCAGGAAGGAGAAATGAACAAATCATCATCACAGTGAAGACTTAATCTCTCCTTTCTCTGTAATAGAACTAGCAGGGAAAAAAAGTACAAATTTTGTACAACACAATTGACGACTAAACAATTAAATATTATTTTCGAATTATACATGGAACATTTATAAAACAATTCACCAAGGACTAGGCCATGACTCCCCTCATATTTCAAGGAATGAGCTTCATGTAGACATTTTTCTAACCACAGAAAACTAAGGTTAGAAGTCTAGTAAAAAGATAAACTTCTGTAAAATGAAAGCGCACTTTTAAATAATTCATGAGCAAAAAAAATAATAATCAACTCTTAGAAAACACTTATAATGCACCAAACCTTGTGGGTCTCAGAGTGAATTTTAAGACCTTAACGTTGATATGAGAAAAGAGGAAAGCCTGAAAAATAACAAGCGAATCATCCAACTACATTCAGACAACCGATTCCATCACTGACCACACAGAATTCCTCAACACTCACCCTCCCCGGGTCCCCATCACCTCCACATCCCTCCGGCAAAGAGCACTGGGATCCTCTTGACAACAACTATTAAACCGCGGCCGAAAACCGCAGCAGTTTCCGGTCACCACCCCTAGCACCGCCCCTTCTCGGGGTTTGGGGCTTTACACGAAGGGGCGTGGTTCTGCACATGCGCAAAATCACATTCGAAGCCGCAGTCAGCCAGAGCCAACATGGAGATGTTACGGAGTCTGTGTTTAGTTGCCTTCAGTGCCCCTAGGCAGCATTGTCAGGCGGGGAACATGGCCGCGCCCAGGTTGCGCTTCCTCATGGAGTACGCCATGTTGGAGGAGTGTCCATTCCGTACAGAGGATGAGGAAGCCTCTAAACTCACATTGCTGAGCACTGGCGCTGTCTCACAGATGGTGGGGAGAGAGGGTGGGGACGTTTCTCTGGGCGGGCATCCTGGGATCTGTGTAATAATGTTCAGAGAAGCTGAGAGGCCTCTGGAAAGACGCAGAGGTGCCAGTGGCTGTTATCTCCTGGCAGATACCACAGGATGAGAAGAAGTAGGACTGCTTGCGGGCCTCTCCTGGAACATACCACGAGGGGAGAAAGGGAAGAAATCAGGGACCTGCAAGTCCTCCTAGGATATAGCCCTGGGGAAAAGGGGGAGGAGTCAGTGTTAGATTCCCCTCTGCTGGGCTTGTTGGGGTTGGCTGTGGGGTTTGGATGCTCCCATAATCTACATTATCTCCCACTCCAGCTACCCGAGCTAAAGTAGAAGTTCTTACCAATAAAGGTTTTTGATTTTTCCCTTAATCTAATTCAATATGTCAATAAAAGTATCTTTAGGAAAATTTATTTTTATTTTCTTATAAAATAAAATCTATATAGTAATAGTGCCCTTACTTTGCAAATGTAGCTTTAAGACAAGATTGATTCTGCCCTTCAACCAATTTGTTGCCCCTTATCACCCCCAATATGGAAATTCTGGAGATGCCTGTGCCCTCTGGGAGATGTTACTGGGGCAGAAGGGGAAGAAGTCATGCTACCCTTCACCTGGGAATGCCTACTTATCTTTCAAAACCAAGTTCAGCTATCTCCTCCAGGGAATCTTCCTGAAAGAGGTAGAAGGCTCTGTAACCCTCTGAAGGCCTTTTTGAATCCTCAAGTGAAGAAGGTGTTTTGAGGGGCTCAGGTGTGAACTTGCTGGATGCTCTCAGTCCGGTCACATCCCCTCTGGGCCTCAGTTTAACAATCTGGAATGTAAGGGTGTCCTATCCCAATTAGCCTAAGACCATCTGGGATTAATCTGTAGTCAGACAAATCTATCAGTCAGTGAGGGAGACCACACGCCAGAGGAACCATGGGGTGGCTCACTAAACAAGGAGAAAATAGAGTTATTATGGAATTCTGAGGAATGGTGAAGTTCAGGTGAAATGTGAATGAAGCAGTGTTCTGGTAAACTCAAAGCAAAGCAGGGCTGTATGTGGACTATGAAGTGAACCCAGAATCCTGTTTCCTTGGAAACCATAAAGTTAAGATAGATACAGAATTTTGTATCTAGATACCCCTTCTCTCTGCACTGGGGTTAGAAATCTTAGCTGCGGTGTCTAAGTGACTTATAATCTTCAGCAAGAGTGAGATGTTTTATCTGTACTGATATCACTTCAAACAGTAGTTTCTGATAGCCTATGATTGTAGAGAACAGTTTCTCAGTGAGTAAAAAAGCAGTAGTCACTCAAAGTAGGAGTTATTTATGGCATTACAGCTGCAGGACATCCTTGGGAGAAATAATATTTTCTGTTAATTTCGCATCTGACTTAATCTGTGTCTGTTCTCCCAGCCTTATGAGTGGCAGAGCAGACTTTTATACCCTGAGCTAATTTTTACTTTCTTAGAGGGTTGGACTCTCTGATTATCCCAGATTCTCTTTCTGCCCCTATAGCCCTGGTCTGAGTGTTTGTTGAATGAATAAATGAAAGAAGAAATGGAATAAGTGGAAGCATGTTTGGCATGCATACATGTCTAATAGAGCTCCAGGAATCATTGTTAATGTGAGTGTCGTAATAGCACTATGGTTACGTTTTTTAAAAACTAAGTCTATTAGACTATTTCAGAGAAGGAAAAAAAAAGAGCCAATAAACATATGAAACGTAAAAAATATTTTGTCAAATTGTTGTGGGTATAAAAAAAGTTAAAGGTTTTGTCAACTGCTAACTGTAAGCTTGCAACAAAATAAATTCAGAAATAGACATTTGAGATATGACTGTGAAAGGAATCAAACTTTGGATGGCTTCCTAATAGGAAAAAAGTAACTAGCCTCATTTAGGGGGACAAAGTAATTCCAGATGGACAATTGTTTCATGGAGACTACAGTCTTTGGAGATTATATTCTGAGATAAGTAAAGAAAATTTATGATAATATAGTTGATTTTGCAATATTAATGATGTATAAACAGTCAATGTGCATTTATTGTGTTCCTGAGGTTGCATAATTGATTGAGTCAAGTGCAAATAAGAGTGCTATTACTTTCCTTTCAGCATGTAAAGTTTTCTTTTCTGCATTGTATCAACTTCATGGCTGTTTTCCTTTGAAGAATAAAAAATGACCAAAAGGAGCCAACATATTCAAGTAGTTAGAGTTGGGGACTGGAACTTTTGTTATGTAAGTTTAATAATATAGTCTTCATTTTATTGCTGGCTCAAAAAAAAACATAAGAGATGTTCAAAGTCATCAGCGATCAGGGAAATACAAATCATGACATGATGAGATGACATTTTACACCCATTCAATTTGCAAATATTTAAGTCTGACAGTACAATGTTGCAGAGGATGTACAGCTACAGGATCTTTTTGCCCTGTTGAAGGAATATAGACCAGTGTAACTACTTTAGAAAATAGTTAGCATTTCCTCCTACAGCGAATATGTACATACCTCACAATCTATCCAGTCCACTCTTAGGAATATATCCACGAGAAACACTTGCACATGAAACCTAGGATATGCATGGCATCCTGTTCACAATAGCAAGACCTGGAAACAAAAATGGATGGAGTCAAAATGAATGAACTAGAACAGTACCCAACAATAAGGATGAATTTAAGGGAAAAAACAAACCCTGTGATTCCCAAAATAGTATATAAAACATAACACACGTTTATAAAATTAAAAGCTACTAATATAAAGAACATGAACTATTTAGGATTTTGTATAGTTGTGATAAAATTATATAAAAAGGAAATCAAAAATTGATGAACTTGGGATTTAGGATGATGCTTACCTCAGCTGAGGGCAGGCAGGGCCATCAATTGGGGGAACACATGGATAGATGGAGGTTATTAAGGCCATACCTTTTCTTTTGGGTGGTAGGTGCATAAGTGCTAATTATATTATTGAAACTAACTAATATTTAAGTTAATTGGGAAAATTAAACTGTTAGATAAACACTTAAATGTAAAAAGAGGAAGTCTGCATGGAGAAAAGTGATGTCCCTTTCTTGAATGGGGTAAGAAAATCTCTGGCTCCAGCCCAGAGATGCCACCCAGTTGTGGGATGAGCAGGGAGGCAGAAGCTCCATGGCATTGATACTTTCTGTGGCCCCTGCCAAAAGTGCTCTGGCCCCAGGGCTCACTCCATCACACCACTCGTGCACCTGCTCAAATGTCCTTTCTTCGGATGTTTTTCTTCCCCGATCTACCCCACAACTCTCTAGCTCCTCGCCATGCTTTCGTTTTCTTCATAGCCTTCCTTTTTATCAGAAATTATCTTATTCATTTACTGTTTGCTCATTTCTTTGTTCGTGCTGATACTGCAGTGATTTCTGCTTCTCACATATGTGGAGTAATCAACTGCCTTATTTTTAGTATCTTACCATACATGTAGAGAGCAGCAAAACACATGCACTGGATTCATTTTCTTAAAAGATTAATTATTCCCTCCTAAAGACTCTGCAGGCATCTCTGGATGACATGACTAATTATAAAATTGTTTTCTAGAGTAATGCAGAAAATACTAGAGATGGAGAACTTCTAAGTATGTAAGACCCTATTCGTTCATTCACCAAATATTTATTGATCACCAGTCACTGCTCTTGGTACTTGTTGTTTGGTAAAACAAAACAGCCCCCAAGTCCCTAGCTTCCTGGACCTAACCTCCTAGTGGGGAAGAGAGGCAATAAACATTGTTGAAAGGTGATAACTGCTAAAGAGGGGTGGATAGGGCAGAGTGATGTGAATTGGAAATGCTGGAGGACTGCACTTTAACTAGGAAGATCAGAGTCTCCTTTTAAACTCTACCACCGACTGCCCTGCATCCTGGAGCAGGCCAGTCTCGAATCCTCACATTTATATGGGCATGTAGTTGAAAACGAGGAAGAACGCAAGGTCAGAATATTTTCATATCTGCAGCTAAGGATGTAATGATGAGTACCTCTTTGCCCTACGGTAGATGCAAGGAGTAATATCCACAGTCTTCTGATCAGTCTTGTCTTGCATGCCTTCCTTTAGTAGGTAAAAAATAGTTTACAATATTTACTGAGCAGGGACCTCTGGACAAACAGCCACAACCATTTACATGTGTCAGTAGATAGAAGGCAATGATAGCTTATTTATTTTACACCCAGCTTTTTAATGGAAAAATTTCACACTATTATTGGGTAATCACAGAGTCCAGCCCTCTGCTGTCCAGAATGTTGAACTGGGGCTCAAAAAGGACGTGACCGGTCTGAGGGCACAAAGACATAGAGAACACCAGAGCTCAGGGCCAGGTCCTTTCAAATAGGACCTGCGCGTCAGAAGGACCTTCAGCTGGCATTGAGCCTCTACCACCGTCAGAGAGGGCTTCCCACAGGACACATGTGAGATGGGTTTTGAAGAATGTGTAGCAGTTCATCCATTGAGGGGATATGGTGGATTCTTCTCACCTCTGCCCCCACGACATCTCCCATAGGGGCAATGGCTTCTCCATAATTTCCATATGTGAGGCCCTAAGGGGCAACAAACTCCTTGTGGGACAGGATTGGAAATTTGTTGTAAGGCTGCACTTGCATAATTATTACTTAGATGTTATTTTACAAGGAAGTATGAATAATCCTGGAAGATGTTTTTACTGACACATTACATTAGACAGAGAAAACAACCATTAGCCATATCAATTTAAAACTAATTGGGGGGGGGGTGTCCCTGGTGGCCTGCTGGTTAAGATTCTGGGCTTTCACTGTGGTGACCCGGGTTCAATCCCTGGTTGGGGAACTGAGATCCTACCAGCCAAGAGGTGCGGCCCAAAAATAAATAAACTAATTTTTGTTGATACCAATTATTTCAGTTGGAGTGACTAGTGTGAGGGTTGATTGAGATTACCCCGACGCTCCCACCCCGACTTCTCTCCCCTCGTGGTATCTGGGGGGGGGAGGGGTACAGTATCGCTCCTACTCTCCCTTCTACAACACTCCATAGTATCGGCCAGGGGAGGGTACCATCCTGACATTTCTCCCCTCAACTCCAGTGGTATCTCCCAGACACACTCTGGGTTCTTATTCTTACTCTTTTCATTAGTAATGGCTCCCCTCTCACCCGTGCCATGTCCCTAGGAGCCCCTTAGAGGCTAAATGCAAAGACCCCCATGCACCAGGAAGTCTACCCAAAGAAGGGTAGTCCACCTCCTCCCAAGGCAGCCCCACTGTTCTGCTGCGTGAGGCAGGAGGCAACAGCTTCTTCCACTGTACGGCACGGACACCCTTCCATGATGGCGGCCCCCTGAAGCAGCAACATTTGGATGCGGCCATATTCCGAGCCCAGCAAAGCCGCAGACGGTAAGGGAACTCTCACGGACTCTGCGTGAAAGTGCCCTGTTGATTGGGGAACGGAGCTTCGCAAGTGCTTTTGAGCATGCGCATGAGTCACCCCCCGCCCCTCCACTAAACACCCGGGTGTTAGAGGTCGGCACTTGGAAGGGAAGCGGTTCTCAGCTGTTTACGAGTTAGCGACACGCAGAGGTGATTTTGAAGGGGATTGGCTACTCTGAGCTGAGTGATGGTGGGGGGCGGAATCTGGGTGGGTGATGGGGCTACTGTGGATTCAGTGGTGGGCTCTTTTACATCGGATGCCCAGCTAATTGTTAGTCAGCTTTTCTCTTTCTAATTTAAGCCTTAAGGCTATACATTTCCATCTAAGACCCACAAGATTTGTTGTATCGTATTATCATTATTGTTCATTTCCAAGTATTTTAAAATTCAGTTATGATTTTTTTTCATTTCACACGTGTCACTTTGAAGCGCGTTTCTGTTTTGCAATAAACAGTTAATCCTTTTGTTATTGATTTCTAACCTAATTTCTCAGAGGTTAGATAATGTGATTTGTGTCATGAACGTTCCTAGAAACCTGTGGAGACTTGCCTTATGCCAAGTCTCGTAAATGTGCCATCTATTGCTTTCAAAGAATATGTGTTCTCCGATTGTTAATTGTGTTGTTCAAAACTGGTATACCCTCTCTGATTTTTTTTTTTCACCTACCTGCTCTGTAGAGGGCAGTGTAATGGTGATTTGTGCGTTTCTCTTTGCTTGTGTCGGCTTTTGCTGTATTTGAACCTTATTATTAGGTACAAGTGTGTGTATTTTTAAAATAGACATTGCCAAATGCCTCTCAAAAGTGTTATATATATATTATAATACATTGTGTATATATTATATCGATATATACAATGTGTAATACATATATCTATGTATACGGAAATGTGTATGAAATATTCCCATCAGCAATATATAAATACCCCCATTTCCCCAAATCTTCTCCAACACTGTATGATGTTCTTTTTCATTTTTTATTATTCTGAGGGCTGAATAATTATATCTAGTTCTGTTTTACCTTTTCCACCTATTAGTGGTTGAGATCTTTTCTGGTTATTTGGGCACTTTGATTCCTTCTCTGCATTTCCATAGCCTTTGTTCATTCCTCCTCTTTCCCCTGGCTTTTACATAGTGAACTTTTCTGTACTCCCTCAGTTGAACATCGCTGGTGTCATATCTATTCCTGTACATATTAAGATCAAAGTATGGACATTTTCTTTTATTTTACTGGCCTATTTATCTCTGTTTTGATTGCATTAGTTTTATTGTAAATGTTAATATCTGCTAGTCCAAGCATCCCTTCAGTATTCCTTTACATAATTTTCTTGGCTATTTATACGTGCATACAGAGTTTGAAATTGTTTTACCAAGCTGGAAAAGAATTGGAATTCTGCTTGGCACTTGTCAATACGGTTAATATTGAACCAGTGATATTTTTATTTTACCATATTCCTGCCCAGGAATATGGTCTGCCTGTCCATGTGCTTAAGTTTTATACTATATTCTAGAATAATAACTATTAGTTTTTCTATTTTGAGTCCAGCACCGTTCTTGTTACATTCACTTTTAGGTATTTTGTGTTGTCATTATTGGAAATAGGATATTTTTTTCCTCTCCATCTGTTTCAATCTTGTACCCCATCACCTTGTCAAAATTCCCTGTGCTAGATATTGGCTCGGTGCTTTGTGACAGCCTGGAGGGGTGGGATAGGGAGGGTGGGAGGGAGGGAGACGCAAGAGGGAGGAGATATGGGAACATATGTATATGTATAACTGATTCACTTTGTTATAAAACAGAAACTAACACACCATTGTAAAGTAATTATACCCCAATAAAGATGTTAAAAAAAAAATTCCCTGTGCTAGTTTTCTGAGTATACAATGATATAACCTGCAAATAAAAATGATTTTCTCTCCTTTCTTGATATTGAAGCAGTTTATTTCATCTTCATATTTAATTGCATCAGCTAGAGCTTTCAAACACTGTTGGCATAGGAACAACCCCATGTTGTTACTGGTTTTAATGGAAACTGTCTTCAGCATTTTACCTTTTAGTTTTATACTTCCTGGTGGTTTTGAGACTATGATCTTTGCCGAATTTTTGTAGTTTCCTACAAAATTTTAAGAATTACTGCTGAATTGTGTCAAATGCCCTTTTTATATCCATTGATACGGTTGTATAGTTTTTCTTCTTAATTTGTTGATGTAATAGGTAAATTGATAAATGGACTAGCATTAACCATCTTTGTCTTATCAGAAAACCCAATTTGTTCATGGGGTAAATTTTTCTTTTGAGCCTTACTGGACTCAAATTGCTAATATTTTATTAAAGATGTTTGCACCTATAAGATGAAATAATCTCCAGATAACTGTATTAGGACTATATTTTTTAGGTAAGGTAACAGTGCTTCATAAAATAAATTTGGAAGATTTCCAACTTTCTATTATTATTTGAAACAGGGATTAGCAAACTTTTTCTGTAAAGAGCCAAATAGTAAATATTTGAGGCTTTGCCAGTACTGCAGTCTCTCTTGCAACTACTCAACTCTGCTGCTGTAGCAAATGCAGCCACAGACAATATGTAAACGAACGGACATGGTTGTTTTCCAATAAAATTTTATTTACAAAACCGGCCAAGGACTAGATTTGACCTGCAGCCTGTAGTTTGCCATCCCCTGGTCTAGAACTGTTTAAAAACTGTAGAAATACTGTTTTTTAAAAGTTAGATTGCACTCCATATTAAGTCAGTTTCATCCTGGTACCTTTTTTTTTGTACTTAACTTTCCTTTTTTAATTGACGTAGAGTTGACATACTATATTATAATAGTTTCAGGTACACAGCATAGTGGTTCAACATTTATATTTCTTACAAATTTATCACCATGATACGTCTAGTAACTGTCTGTCACCATACTGTATTTAACTTTTTATTTTGAGATAATTATAGATTCACAGGACATTGCAAAAAATAGTACAGAAAGCTGGGTTTTTGGTGTTTTTGTTTTTGTTTTTGTTTTGGCTGCGTTGGGTCTTCGTTGCTGTGCGCAGGCTTTCTCTAGCTGCAGCGAGCAGGGGCTACTCTTCATTGCGGTGCGCGGGCTTCTCATTGCGGTGGCTTCTCTTGTTGTGGAGCATGGGCTCTAGGCTCACAGGCTTCAGTAGTTGTGGCATGCAGACTCAGTAGTTGTGGCTCGCGAGCTCTAGAGCACAGGCTCAGTAGTTGTGGCCCACAGGCTTAGTTGCTCCACGGCATGTGGGATCTTCCCAGACCAGGGCTCGAACCCGTGCCCCCTGCATTGACAGTGGGTTCTTAACCACTGCGCCACTAGGGAAATCCCAAAGCTGGTGTTTTTTTAAAAATTATACACATTACAAACTTTCTGACTTATATACACTGGTCACTTAGAGATTCTTTTGCTCTTTCTTTTTTTGCATTAATTTTTTTTTGCTGGAGAAGCACCTGTTTCACCTCCATATTTAAATGTTGCTATGGATTTGCACATAATATTCTCCTAGAAATAATGTTTAGTGGAATATCTCCTCTAGTAGTAATATCTCCTCCTTCCTAATATTGTATTTTTTTTCTATTTCGTTTATCAGATTTGCTGGAAATTTATTCATGTAACTGGTCATTTCAAAGGATGAGCTCTTCACTTTATTTATACTCTCAATGGACATATAATATACAAATATATATCGCATTTAGGTTTTATTAGGGGATTTATTAGCATATTTTGAGTTTTTTCTAATTTCTTTTTCTAATTACTCAGATTGAGTACTTAGCTTTTTTGAGGTTTTCTCTCATTTTAATAACGAATCATGTAGGACTGTACATTTTCTTATAAATATAGCTTTTGCTGTGTGAAATAACATCTGGTACAAAGTGTATAACTTCAGTGTTGTGGGTGCATTTTGAGTTTGATTTTTATTTCTTTATCTATTTTTAATTACCTTTGTTGTGGCAAAAATAAACATGTACTATAAAATTATCCATCTTAACCGTTTCTAAGTGTATAGTTCAATAGTGTTAAGTATATTCACATTGTTTTGCAAACAATCTCTAGAACTTTTTCACCTTACAAAATGGAAACTGTATACCCATTAAACGACATCTCCCCATTTCCCCCTCCTTCAGCCTCTGGCAACCACCATTCTACTTTCTGTTTCTATGAATTTGACTATTCTAGATACCTTATGTAAGTGGTATCATCCAGGACTTATCTTTTTGTGACTGGCTTACTTCATTTAGCATAATGTCTTCAAGTTTCATCCATGTTGTAGCATGTGTCAGAATTTCCTCTTTAATGCTGAATAATATACTATTGCATGAATATACCACATTTTTTTTATCCATTCATCTCCTGATGGACACTTGTGTTGCTTTCACCTCTTGACTATTGTGAATAGTGCTGCTATGAACAGGAGTGTGCAAATTTGTCATTGAGATCCTACTTTCAATTCTTTTGGATATATACCCAGAAGTGAGATTGCTATTTTTCTTTTCTTGAGGAAAGCTGTACTATTTTCCATAGTGGCTGCACCATTTTATATTCCCATCAGCAGTGCACAAGAGTTCCAATTTCTCCATATCCTCGCCAACACTAGTTATTTTCTTTTTTTTTTAATAGTAGACATCCTAGTGGGTATGAGGTGTTATCTCACTTTTTTTGACTTGTATTTTCCTAATGATTGATGTTGACCATCTTTTCATATGCTTGTTGACCATTCATGTATCATCTTTGGAGAAATGTCTGTTCAAATCCTTTGCCAATTTTTTAATTGGGTTATCTGGGTTTGTTGTTGTTGAGTTATAGGAGTTCTTTATATATTCTGGATATTAGCCCCTTATCAGATATATGATTTGCACATATTTTCTTCCATTCCCTAGGTTGCCTTTTCACTCTATTGATTGTGTCCTTCAATGCACAGAAGTTTTTAATTTTGATGTAGTCCAATTTGCCTATTTTTGCTTTTGTTTCCTATGTTTTGGTGTCATATCCAGGAAATCTTTGCCAAATACAAATGTCATGAAGCTTTTCCCCTGTGTTTTCTTCTAATAGTTTTGGGTCCTATATTTAGGTCTTTGATATATTTTGAATTAATTTTTGTATATGGTGTAAGGTAATACTTTTGCACATGGATATCCAGTTTTTTTCCCAGCACCATTTATTGAGGAGACTAATCTTTCCCACATTGAATGCTTTTGGCACCTTTGTCAAAAATCATTTGACCATATATGACCCATTTATTTCTGGGTTCCCTATTCCATTGGTCTATATATCTGTCTTCATGCCAGTACCACACTGTTTTGATTACTGTAGCTTTGTAATAAGTTTTGAAATCAGTAAGTGTAAGACCTCCAACTTTGTTCTTCTTTTTCAAGATTGTTTTGGGCTATTTGGGGTTGGGTTTAATTTTTTGAATTAGAGTTCCTAAGTTCACTCTTCCTAAGTTCCTTAGTCTACTAGCTCTGCCTTTATATATAACCTGTTTATACCAATTGGATGCTTCTGACCTTGAAATTCCCTTTTATAATTATATCACCAAACTGGCTGTCCTTTTTCTGGACTTTGCTTGGCATATCTTTGCCCAGCCCTTTATTTTGCAAATTGCTGCTGTGTTTTAGTTATGCTTCTTATAACTATGTCTCATTGTGCTTCCTTTTTTATTCCAATCTTATCTCTCTACAGAATGAATCAACTGATTCAATTTCACATAACCATAGTATACCTAATTCTATGCCTTGTTTCTTATTTTATGTTTACTATTTATATTATTTTCTGCTTTCTTTTTCCTGTTCTTACTTTTGATGACTTAATGCAGGCATGACCATTCACCCCCTCTCTCCCCAACCCACTCACCTTTTAAGTCAGGCAATTTTAACTTTTATAAAATCTTTAAAGGTATATCTTCCCATTTCTATCAAACATAATTAAGTTTATATTTTCCCCATTTATACCTATAGAGACATGCCCTCTCCTTTCAATTTTCTTCAGCAAGACAGTTATAATTCTGGACCTTTCAAAGATAATTAAAATTTTTTATTACAGGTCGTTTATATTTTCTTTAGGTTTCTGCTTTAAAAGGTACTTAGCATTTTAAATTTCAAATTCCCAGTCACATTTTCTTCCTCTGTTATGATTGTACACGCACTTACATACATACAAGTCCTGTTGTTTTCAAAGATCTCACGATGACCAGGTGAACGTGTGTGTTTGCATATGCATTGTTTTGTTCTTTTGAGATCTCACTTCTGATTCAATTTTCTTTTATTTAGAATACTTCCTTGAATGTTTTCCTTCACTATGGTAAATTGATGGAACACTCTTCAAATTATTTCATGTCTAAAACTGTCCTTCTTTTGTTCTGGCTGAGAAATAGGATCTTTAGGAGGGATATAATCTCCTTACACTGAAGTCCTCTTCTCTCCATGGTCTGTAGATGTTAAATGACTCTGGCTTCCATTGTTGTAAGTGAGAAGTCTGATGCTAGGAGGATGCATGTGGGGGAGGATCAGATTTAACACAGTGGTTCCCACTCCTCACAGTGCATCAGAATCGCTTATGCAGTTTTTACAAATACAGATGCCTGGGCCCACAGATACTAAGTTACATTCATTCAGGAGTGGAACTTTGCATAAGCATTTTTAGAAGATTTTAGAAGATCCTAGTTTGATTCTGATGTGCAGGCAGAGTTAGGAACCACTGATTTCAGGCCTAATGGTATCAGTGATGGGAAGTCCTGCTGGAGTTACTAATTTGTCAGCAGTGAATGTGCATTTGAAGGAGCCCTTAGCAAATAATACTTGGGCATTTTGGGGGAAAGTGATTACATCTCTGTAGGAATCATTGATTGTAGAAGTCAGTGATTAAGATCTCTGCAAGATAATGATTGAAAGGCTGACATAGTCAGTGAGTTGACTGAGAGCCTTGGAGCTTTGGCAACTGGAGACTTTGGGGCAGTCTTATTTTGAAAATACTTGGGATCAGTGATTTGGTGTCCTATGGGTATCAGGAATTGTGGCCATGTGAAGTCAGTTAATTGGGGCCTGGATGGTCAGCATCTGGCCTCTCCTTTAGTCCATTTCAGGTACTGTAAGGATCAGTTATTAGCTGTCTAGACAGATCAATGATTGGATTCCTGGTGGGGGTATGTTACTGGGATCCTCTGCTGGGGATTATTTGAGGGGCCTTTGAAAGCCAGGCTAATTACCCTCTTGGAAAAGTAATTTGCAATCTGTTTGAATTAATGTTAAGAGTCTGTGCCATGCCAATGTTTGGTTAGTTTTTCAGTAGCACCCTGCATTTGATGTGGTTCAGTGAGTCATTGATGGCTTCTACTACCAGCCAGAGATGACAGTGATGTGGTCTCAGGGATCTGGGACCCGTAGTGACCAATTATCAACAGGCCAGAGCAGGTCAGGGATTGGGCATTTGATGCAATATTACTGAGTGGCTGAGAGTGTGAATTTTGGAACTAATAGATCTGGGTTGAATCCTGTCTTTCCACTTAGTTTTGTGATCTTAGTACACATGACTTAAAAAATCTCTACGCCTCTATTTTCTTATCTGTAAAATGGGTAGAATAATAATAGTCGGAACTGATTGTCAGAGTTGTGAAAATTAAATGAGGTACCTGATGTGTGCCTTTCAATAACAGTAATTGCTAATATTTATTCAATGCTTACCATTACAAGTATCATCTCATGTAGTTTTTACTGTCTCTTAAGATACGCATATCTGTCTTGTTTTGGAACCTGTATCTGAAAGTAACTTCTTCATATACTCCCAGCTAACATGTGGGAGACCTGGGATTCAAACCTTCAGTAATTTTAATCCAAATTTTATCATCTTTCCTATATTCCACCATGACTATAAACTAGAGTTCGTTTTTTTCTGAATTTTTCTCTTCAGAGAAAATTATATTTTCAGATACAGAATAGCTGTATCTGTATTTTGAATACAGAATAGCTGTATTCAACACAGCTAGCCACTCCTTGGTGCCTGCAGGAAGTGTTCGTGGGATGAATGTTGAGTAACTGACCATGTGGACACTGTCTTTCCAGTTTTCTTGAAGTCTCTGCGGAGCCCCTGGGTAAGACCCCATAGTGAAGGCTGCAGAATCTTCCTTCCGGCCTCAGCAGCTCTGGTTGAGTCCATGGGTGCCCACCTGGCCTCGGGCTCCCAGGAAGAGCAGAGCTGTCAGCAAGAGAGCCTGGGGGCTGAGGCCCAGCAAGAAGATGCCAGCCAACTGGAGCTCTCCCCAGTGGTCCCCAGCCCTGGCTGCAGAGGGACATGGCAGCATGTGTGAGGTGAGGAGGGAGGGGTCTCCAGGGGCAGGAATTCAGTGAGGAGTTGGCCCTAACCTGTCACCAGGGCCTCAGGGCAGGGGCATGTGGTTCACAGAAGCAGCAGATTCTGGACTCGCTGCCCCGAGACAGATCACCATCCTTCTGCTGCGTGAGCACCAAGTCACTGGTGTCCCACATTCAAAGCCCTGCGTGTTTCAGTGGAAACTGATGCAGCTGATGGAGGAAGGGTGGGATGGGAGGGTCACCCCTACAGCCTAGGTGAGGGGGAGGCAGCTCCCAGCTGATTCCAGACTCTGGAAGGTACCCTTTCACCTGTAACCCCTCATTTCCCCAGCTCTGACCATAGATCTCTTCTCCTTCCCAAAAAAGAACTAGAAAATACTCAGTCTCTGGTGCATTGTTGTTTGTTCCTTTATTTGTTTAGTTGCTGCTTCCATTTACCATTGGATTTATGAGGTTTATAATCAGTATAGTAAAATGAACACATATGAATCTATAAAGTTAGGATCAGGGAAAATATAGACAGAGTGGACAAAGTCAACAACAGAGCACAATTAGACTGTAGCTATTCACACAATGCTGAATGAATTTTAGTAACATGGCTATTAAAATCCAACTGCAAATTTGTGTTCTTTGTGGCAGATACAGAATAAAAGAAACACAAGCAGTTAGGTGATTAAATTGTCCACAAGGACAGCATGACAGTTCCTCTGTGGTAGAAACTTCCTGGTATGGGGTTTTCAAAAGGTTTTTTTGATAGATATTCATATAAATTGATAGAGGGGACTCTGTTCATAATTATGCTGTGACAACTTGGACATATAGTCAGCCTAATAATAGAGAAACGATGTCACTTACAGCAACCCCATCTTTTTTTTTACTTTTTAAAAAAAATTTAAAGTTTATTTTTGGTTGCATTTGGTCTTCATTGCTGCGTGCGGGCTTTCTCGAGCAGGGGCTACTCTTAGTTGCGGTGCACTGGCTTCTCATTGCAGTGGCTTCTCTTGCTGAGGAGCATGGGCTCTAGGCACGCGGGCTTCAGTAGTTGCAGCACGTGGGCTCAGTAGTTGCAGTGCACGGGCTCAGTAGCTGTAGCTCGTGGGCTCTAAAGCACAGGCTCAGTAGTTGTTGCGCACAGGCTTAGTTGCTCCACAGCATGTGGGATCTTTCTGGACCAGGGCTCAAACCCATGTCCCCTACACTGGCAGGCGGATTCTTAACCACTGTGCCTCCAGGGAAGTCCTTTACTTTTTTATATTGAAGTATAGTTGATTTACAATGTTGTGTTAATTTCTGCTGTACAGAAAAGTGATTCAGTTATATATATATATATATATATATATATATATATATATATATATATGTTTTATCACAGGATATTGAATATAGTTCCCTGTTATAGCAACCCCATCTTGCATGTAGTACTGTGTGTTTTCTTTGTCTGTCTTCTAAAGCAGCCCTTGGCAAATATTTTCTGTAGGGCCCAGTAGTAAATATTTTAGGCTTTGTGGCTCATAGTCTCTGTTACAACTACTTAGCTCGGCTTTTGTAGCATGAAAACAGCCATAGTCCATATGTAAACAAATGAGTGTAGCTGCCTACCCCTATTCTAGAGCATTTTTTTCCAGAGGAAGCCAAAGCCCTACAGTCAAAGCAGATCTCAGCAAATGTATTATAACAAGAAACCAAAACTGTCTGAGGGCACACCTTTCTGATGGTCTGACATCATACAAACAGAAAAGACTAAATTATATGTATCAATGCGTGGGCTAAATGCACTTCAGTAATACTGTGTAATAATTTTTCTTGGTCAGCCTTTTGACACTGCTTGAGGAACAGATAGGTCAAAATTATAAGTGGCATTAGTCATATACAACATTTTCAGTCCAGTTTTTTCCTGTGGTCATTTCCTCCCTTTTTCTTAGAAATTATCTTTTAATTTTTGGCATTACAGAACTTATCCACGTGTACTGCATAATATTCAAGCTATTCAGAAATGCAAAAAATAGTATAATAAACCCCTTGTACCCATCGCCCATGTACAACAACTATCAACAGTTATGAACATATGACTAATCTTGTTTTATCTACTACTGAAGGATTATTTTAAAGCAAATCACTGAAATGATATGTTTTGTCCTTACTTCCTTTAGTATGTATCTCTGTTTAACTGCAATACCATTAACATACTTAAAACATTAACAATATTTTCTTAATATCATTTGTTACCTACTTATTATACAAATGTCCTTTAATTGTCCCATACATGCCTTTTTAAATTGGAATTTTAATTAAAATAATTGTGAACTCACATGCAATTATGACAAATAATACTGAGAGGTCCTGTGTATCCTTTACCAAGTACCTTAGTCCATTCAGGCTGCTATAATAGAATACCATAGACTGGGTGGCTTAAACAACAGAAATTTACTTCTCACAGTTCTGGAGGCTGGGAAGTCCAAGATCAAAGTGCCAGCAGATCTGATGTCTGGTGAGAGCCCACTTCTTGGTTTGCAGGTGGCCATCCTCTCACTGTATCCTCACATGGTGAAGATCAGAGAGTGAGAGCTAGTTCTCATGTCTCTTCTTATAAGGGCACTAAACCCATTCATGAGGGCTCCACTCTCATGACATAATTACCTCCCAAAGGCCCCACATCCCACTACTGTCACCTTGGGGGTAAGGATTTCAACCTATGAAATCTGTGGGGGACACAGACATTTAGTTGATAGCACCCAGTTTCCCCCAGTGGTAAGATCTTGCAAAACTATGATCACAATCAGGATATTGACACTGATACAGTACACTGATCTTATTCTGATTTTCCCAGTTTTACTTGTATTCATTTGTGTGTGTGTGTTTAGTTTCATACAATTTTATCACAGTTAGAGGTTTGAATGAAGGTAGAGAACACTTCTATCACAGGGATCCTTGGTGTTGCAGTTTACAACCACACCTACCTCCCCCTCCTATACCTTTCCCTAACCCCTGGCAACTACTAACCTGGTCTCCATTTCCAAAATTTTGTCATTTCATAAATGTATTAGGAGGTGGGGCTTCCTGAAGAGAGGAGAGAGATGGGTGTCTGGAAAAAATATTGGCTGAAATATTTCCACATAAGATAAAAAATATATACCCAAAGATACAACAATCAACAAATCCTAAGCACAACAACATGAGAAAACTACTTAAGGCACGTCATAATCAAGTTGCTCAAAACCACTGGTGAAGAGAAAATCCTAGAGAAAAAAAGAAAATGCACAGGAACAAAGATAAGGACGAAAGCAGTTTTCTTGTCAGTAACAAGCCAGGAAACAGTGGAGCAAGGAAACAGTGGAGCAAGAACTTTACTGAAATTAACAACAACAAACCAGCAACCTAGAATTCTCTACCTGCAAAATTATTTTTTTAATGAAGACAAAATAAAGACATTTTCAGACATACAAAAGTTTAAAGAATTCATCATCAGCTGACCTGCACTACAAAAAATGTTAAAGGAAGTCCTTCAAGCAGAAGGCAAATGATACCAGATGGAAATCTACATCTACACAAAGGAATGAAGAGCACCAGAAATGGTAACTACATGGGTAAATATAAATACTTTTCTTATTATTTGGATCTCTTTAAAAGATAATCAACTGTTTAAAATTAAAATAACAATGAATCATGCCATTTATAATATATGCAAATTGAAATATATAACAACAATAGCACAAAACTTAGGAGGGTACATTGAAGTATGTTGTAAAAGTTCTTGAATTATACATAAAGTGCTATAATATCACTTGAAGGTAGACTGTAATAAGTTAATGATATTAATACTATAAATTCTAAAGCAACAACTAAAATAAAACGAGAAAGTATTAAAGCTCTTAAACCCAACGAGGAATATAAAATGGAATAATAAAAAATACTTAATTCAAAATAAGACAGAAATAAAGGAAAAAGGGAAAAGAGAACAGATAGAACAAATAGAAAACAAATAGCCATATGATACATTTCAACACAACCACATCTATAATCATATTATATGTAAATGGCAAATAGAGATTTTTCAATTGGATAAAAAAGCAAGACGCAACTATATGTTCTGTGCAAGAAATCCACTTTAAATATAAAGACAAAAATAGGTTAAAAGTAAATGGATGGCAAAACATGTACCATGCTAACACTAATCCAAAGAATTCATACATGCACCCCAATGTTCATCGCAGCACTATTTACAATAGCCAGGACATGGAAGCAAACTTAATGTCCATCAACAGAGGAATGGATAAAGATGTGGTACATATATACAATGGAATATTACTCAGCCATAAAAAAGAACAAAATAATGCCATTTGCAGCAACGTGGATGAACCTAGAGATTGTCATAATGAGTGAAGTAAGTCAGACAGAGAAAGACAAATACCATATGATATCACTTATATGTGGAATCTAAAAAAATGGTACAAATGAACTTATTTACAAAACAGAAATAGAGTCATAGATGTAGAAAACAAACTTATGGTTACCAGGGGGGAAGGGGAGAGGGATAAATTGGGAGATTGGGATTGACATATACACGCTACTATATATAAAATAGATAACTAATAAGAGCCGACTGCACAGGGAACTCTACTCAATACGCTGTAATGACCTATATGGGAAAACAATCTAAAAAAAGAGTGGGCATATGTATAACTGATTCACTTTGCTGTACACCTGAAACTAACATAACATTGTAAATCAGCTATACTCCAATAAAAAGATTTTTTAAACATCTTTATTGGAGTATAATTACTTTACCATGGTGTGTTAGTTGTTGCTTTATAACAAAGTGTATCAGTTATACATATACATATGTCCCCATATCTCTTCCCTCTTGAGTCTCCCTCCCTCCCACCCTCCCTATCCTACCCCTCTAGGTGGTCACAAAGCACCAAGCTGATCTCCCTGTGCTATACGGCTGCTTCCCACTAGCTATCTATTTTACATTTGGCAGTGTATATATGTCCATGCCACTCTCTCACTTTGTCCCAGCTTACCCTTCCCCCTCCCCATATCCTCAAGTCCATTCTCTAGTAGGTCTGCATCTTTATTCCCATCTTGCCCCTAGGTTCTTCATGACCAATTTTTTTCCTTTAGATTCCATATATATGTGTGAGCATATGGTATTTGTTTTTCTCTTTCTGACTTACTTCACTCTGAATGACAGTCTCTAGGTCCATCCACCTCACTACAAATAACTGTTTCATTCCTTTTTATGGCTGAGTAATATTCCATTGTATATATGTGCCACATCTTCTTTATCCATTCATCTGTTGATGGACACTTAGGTTGCTTCCATGTCCTGACTATTGTAAATAGAGCTGCAATGAACATTTTGGTACATGACTCTTTTTGAATTATGGTTTTCTCAGGGTATATGCCCAGTAGTGGGATTGCTGGGTCATATGGTAGTTCTATTTTTAGTTTTTTAAGGAGCTCCATACTGTTCTCCATAGTGGCTGTATCAACTTACATTCCCACCAACAGTGCAAGAGGGTTCCCTTTTCTCCACACCCTCTCCAGCATTTACTGTTTGTAGATTTTATTTTATTTTGCGGTATGCAGGCCTCTCACTGTTGTGGCCTCTCCTGTTGCGGAACACAGGCTCCGGACGCGCAGGCTCAGCAGCCATGGCTCACGGGCCCAGCCACTCTGCGGCATGTGGGATCTTCCCAGACCGGGGCACGAACCCATGTCCCCTGCATCAGCAGGCAGACTCTCAACCACTGTGCCACCAGGGAAGCCCTGTTTGTAGATTTTTTGATGATGGCCATTCTGACCAGTGTGAGATGATATCTCATTGTAGTTTTGATTTGCATTTCTCTAATGATGATGTTGAGCATTCTTTCATGTGTTTTTTGGCAATCTGTATATCTTCTTTGGAGAAATGTCTATTTAGGTCTTCTGCCCATTTTTGGACTGGGTTGTTTGTTTTTTTGATATTGAGCTGCATGAGCTGCTTGTAAATTTTGGAGATTAAGCCTTTGTCAGTTGCTTCATTTGCAAATATTTTCTCCCACTCCGAGGGTTGTCTTTTCATCTTGTTTATGGTTTCCTTTGCTGTGCAAAAGCTTTGAAGTTTCATTAGGTCCCATTTGTTTATTTTTGTTTTTATTTCCATTTCTCTAGGAGGTGGGTCAAAGAGGATCTCACTGTGATTTATGTCATAGAGTGTTCTGCCTATGTTTTCCTCTAAGAAATTTATAGTGTCTGGCCTTACATTTAAGTCTTTAATCCATTTTGAGTTTATTTTTGTGTATGGTGTTAGGGAGTATTCTAATTTCATTCTTTTACATGTAGCTGTCCAGTTTTCCCAGCACCACTTATTGAAGAGGCTGTCTTTTTTCCACTGTATATTCTTGCCTCCTTTATCAAAGATTAAGTGACCCTATATGTGCATGGGTTTATCTCTGGGCTTTCTATCCTGTTCCATTGACCTATCTTTCTGTTTTTGTGACAGTAACATACTGTCTTGATTACTGTAGCTTTGTAGTATAGTCTGAAATCAGGGAGCCTGATTCCTCCAGCTCCGTTTTTCGTTCTCAGGATTGCTTTGGCTATTCGGGGTCTTTTGTGTTTCCATACAAATTGTGAAATTTTTTGTTCTAGTTCTGTGAAAAATGCCAGTGGTAGTTTGATAGGAATTGCATTGAATCTGTAGACTGCTTTGGGTAGTAGAGTCATTTTCACAAAGTTGATTCTTTTTTTTTAATTTAAAAATACTTTATTACTAAAATATGCTAACCAAAATTTGACAATGCAGGTTTGCCACAAATCTTCAATTCGTTAAAAACAGACAAACAAAAAATGCAAGATCTCCGAAGTATAGTGAAGTGCAATAAAATGAAGTATGACTGTAACCCAATATCTGGAGAAAAATAGGTGCCTACAGGGAGAAAAAAGGCCATCATTTGCTTACCTGGTACAGATACTACCATATGCCATTTAAGCTAGTAAGAAGATTCAGCTAGAAATACTTAACAAATTTTTAAAGTTTATGTGTGGGTCACTGTTCTAGTGTGAAGTCCCTGATGCCTATAGGCATGGGGTGTTCCAAGCTTTTATAGGCTTTTCCTCCAGGAAACTCACCTGTTAACTGGGAAAATCAGGGAAAATCCTAAAAGAATTTTTACCGTGGTGCTGGCTGGAGGAGAACAGCATTCTGCTTTCAAAATTCTATCCAGACATATCACCACACAATGTTGATTCTTCCAATGCAAGTGTGATGTGGCTGCTTCCCACTAGCTATCTATTTTACATTTCGTAGTGTATATATGTCCATGCCACTCTCTCTTTGTCCCAGCTTACCCTTCCCCCTCCCCATATCCTCAAGTCCATTCTCTAGTAGGTCTGCGTCTTTATTCCCGTCTTGCCTCTAGGTTCCTCATGACCATTTTTTTGTTTGTTTTTTAGATTCCATATATATGTGTTAGCATGTGGCATTTGTTTTTCTCTTTCTGACTTACTTCACTCTGTATGACAGACTCTAGGTCTATCCACCTCACTACAAATAACTCAATTTCATTTCTTTTTATGGCTGAGTAATATTCCATTGTATATATGTGCCACATCTTCTTTATCCATTCATCTGTCGATGGACACTTAGGTTGCTTCCATGTCCTGGCTATTGTAAATAGAGCTGCAATGAACATTGTGGTACATGACCCTGTTTGAATTATGGTTTTCTCAGGGTATATGCCCAGTAGTGGGATTGCTGGGTCGTATGGTAGTTCTATTTGTAGTTTTTTAAGGACCCTCCATACTGTTCTCCATAGTGGCTGTCTCAATTTACATTCCCACCAACAGGGCAAGAGGGTTCCCTTTTCTCCACACCCTCTCCAGCATTTATTGTTTGTAGATTTTTTTATGGTGGCCATTCTGACTGGTGTGAGACAAAATTCAACACCCATTTATGATAAAAACCCTCCAGAAAGTAGGCATAGAGGGAACTTACCTCAACATAATAATGGTCGTATATGACAAACCCACAGCCAACATCGTTCTCAATGGTGAAAAACTGAAACCATTTCCACTAAGATCAGAAAGAAGACAAGGTTGCCCACTCTCACCACTATTATTCAACATAGTTTTGGAAGTTTTAGCCACAGCAATCAGAGAAGAAAAAGAAATAAAAGGAATCCAAATCGGAAAAGAAGAAGTAAAGCTGTCACTGTTTGCAGATGACATGATACCATACATAGAGAATCCTAAAGATGCTACAAGAAAACTACTACAGTTAATCAATGAATTTGGTAAAGTAGCAGGATACAAAATTAATGCACAGAAATCTCTTGCATTCCTATACACTAATGATGAAAAATCTGAAAGTGAAATTAACAAAACACTCCCATTTACCATTGCAACAAAAAAATAAAATATCTAGGAATAAATCTACCTAAGGAGACAAAAGACCTGTATGCAGGGAGATCAGCTTGGTGCTTTGTGACCACCTAGAGGGGTGGTTTTATAGTTTTGTCTGGGTATATGCCCACGAGTGGGATTATAGTTTTGTCTGGGTATATGCCCATGAGTGGGATTGCTGGATCATATGGCAACTCTATTTTTAGTTTTTTGAACAACCTCCATATTGTTCTCCATAGGGGCTGTACCAAGTTACATTCCCACCAACAGGGTAGGAGGGTTCCCTTTTCTCCACACCCTCTTCAGCATTTGTTATTTGTAGACTTTTTAACGATGGCCATTCTGACCAGTGTGAGATGGTACCTCACTGTAGTTTTAATTTGCATTTCTCTAATAATTTATTACTATATTTAATTTGAATTTTAAAATATTCTCAGATTTGGCCAGTGGGAGTCACTTGCAGCTGGAATGTTATGTCCTTTTGACATGTCCCATGATTCATTGAGCACATCCTGACCTTCTGGTACAACAAAATGTTCAGGTTCATCCGGTACTTTTCCCACCCCAGCCCAGAATAACCCACATCTCCTAGTTAATAATTTTTTAATGAGTTTTTATCCTGGTATATAACATAGTATGCCTACTACTAAATACCTAATATTATATAATATTTTATAGGAGAAAGAAATATAATTGAAATTTCTGCAATTCACTGTGTTCATGCAGTAAAAGTTATTCTTTACTAAAAATGAGAACTACGTTGACAGATGAATGGATAAAGAAGATGTGGTACAAATATGCAATGGAACACTACTCAGCCATGAAAAAGAATGAAATAATGTCATTTGCAGCAAAATGGATGCAACTAGAGATTATCATACTAAGTGAAGTGAGTCTGAAAGAAAAAGAAAAATACCATATGGTGTCACTTATATGTGGAATCTAAAATATGACACAAATGAACCTATCTGTGAAACAGAAACAGAATCATGGACATAGGGAACAGGCTGGTAGTTGCCAAGGGGGAGGGGGCTGGGGAGGGATGGAGTGGGAGGTTGGGGTTAGCAGATGTAAGCTTTTATATATAGAATGGATAAACAACAAGGTCCTACTGTATAGCACAGAGACCTATATTCAATATCCTATGATAAACCATAATGGAAAAGAATATTTTTTTAAAGAATGTATATATATGTATAACTGAATCACTTTGCTGTACAGCAGAAAGTAACACAACATTGTAAATCAACTATACTTCAATTTAAAAAATATTGATAAAAATGAGGACTAAACAACCCTCTTAAGTCCTCCTGCTATTTTGAGAACTGCCAGAAACACCTTTCCTGGGCCGTTGAGTACCGAGTAGCAAATGTTATGCCAGGAACTGGGAAGGGAGAAATATATTATACACACACCCCTTGTCCTGTAGCAACCCTGAAATGTGAAAAACAAATACAGGTAGGTAGGAAAGGTAAGTTCTCCATGAGGGAGTAAGTTTACCCGCCAGTGTTGGAGAAGCTTAAATTGGATGATAAGGCATGTGATACAAAGTGCAAAGGTATGGAAGTGAAAAAGAAAAACTATTTGATGTCAAATAGCTCTATGTAGAAGAAGAAGGGTCTATGTGACATTCAGGGAAGCAAAATAAATTTAAAATCTGAGGACAAATGCTGGACTCCATCATAGAAAAAGTAAGAATTTTTTCCTTGATCTAATGGATCACCATGGAGGGATTATATATGCAGGGAAGATATATTAACTAACTTTTGTATCTTGAAAGAATTATAGTCCCTATTGCAATTGTATTTTATATTTCAGGATAACATATTTTAAGTAGAGATTTTTAAAAACAACATTAAAAGAGGAACTGACCACAGAGTCTTTGCACAGAACTTTAAGCCCAGACTGAAAATGGCATATTCTATTACCAATGTTTTTAAATATTTAAAAAATTTTCCAGTTTCATTGAGGAATGGTTGACAAATTAAAAATTATATATACTTAAGGTATACAATATGGTAAGGTTGTTTTTTTTTTTTTTTTTGCGGTACGCGGGCCTCTCACTGTTGTGGCCTCTCCTGTTGCGGAGCACAGGCTCCGGACGCGCAGGCTCAGCGGCCATGGCTCACGGGCCCAGCCGCTCTGCGGCACATGGGATCTTCCCGGACCGGGGCACGAGCCCGTGTCCCCTGCATCGGCAGGCGGACTCTCAACCACTGTGCCACCAGGGAAGCCCCCAATATGGTGTTTTGATATAAATATATTCTTTTAACTTTGACCTACCTAAGGCCCAAGTAGTGTCAAAAGCCCCAGAGGAAAGTTAAAATGTAGGATGGTTTGCACCTGTATGAAATGAAATCATCAGTGAGGTGTGCACATGAAGAACCCTATCCACTGTGTTCTGCTTGGGCCCTACGCCCTCGGCTTCTTTTAGATGGTTCTCAACCAGCGGTTCTCAAACTTGAGCATGCATCAGAATCACCTAGAGGGCTTGTCAACACACAGACTACTAAACCTCATAACCAAAAGTCTGGTGTAGGACCCGAGAATTTGCATTTCTACCAGTCTCTCAAATGATGCTGCTGGTGGTGGTCCAAGAAACATACTGTGAGAACCATTGTTCTAGAAGATGGCTGTGGCAAACCCTATCATCATACACTTATGACAAGATTACTGTTGACGACACTCGTCTTTTTCATTAGGCTGATCCTCTGTCCAGTTTACACCTGTTGTTCCGGCATAATTATTAATGATGCCCCTTCCCATTCTAAAGTGTCCTGATTTGGATGATAAAGTATAAGGTTACCTCACCCATACTCCATAATGAGATCAAATTTGTTTTTGAAATTCAATTATCAGGAAACCTTTACCCTGGAAGAATTGTCACATTTTCTCCCTGTGGCCAATGTAAATCTTACAAACGACTGCGTTTCCTTTCCAGCTATATCTGATAGGAAGATAAGAAAAAAACTTCTAGCTCAAATTTAATTACTCTGCAGGACCATCAGGCCCAAATGCCTATAGTCCAAATAGATTCTAGTGCTGACTTTGTTCGTTCTGTCTATATCTTCTCTGACCTAAATTTATAGAGTCATACCTGGACATTTTACTACAGGGATTCTTTAATGCCCCCTAAAAACACTGGAAAAGCAATGGGTACAACAAACAAATACATGAATTAATCTATTAAATTAAAAACTTGGTTATTAAAAACTTGGTTATTTCCTGCTGTTCCTGGGAAGGGGCTTGGGTCTGTGAAGTCAAAGCTGCAGAGGGGATGATGTGCAGGTACGTTGCAGAGATCAGATTCACCAGCCCGGAAACACCCACACTTCAGCTGGGGGCCACACCCTGTGGGAGACCCAGGGGGCACCACATTTCTGTGGCCACAAGCTGTGTATCTGTGACTGATATGATTGTGTGACACTTGGAAAAGGCAGGTTTCTCATTGGGACCAAGTGTACAACTATCGCCTCCTAAGTCCTTTAATATCTGTCCTTGCACCCTGATCCAAGATTTCAATTTCTAGAAAACAATCATGTATGTGCATGAAGATTTAAATGCAGGAATTTCACTACTGTGATGTTAATAGTCAAAACCAAAACTATCCTTCATAAATGTTAACTAACAGTATATTGGTTATAAAAATTATGATATATTCAAAGACTCAATATTATGCAGCTATTAAAATTGTATACAAAAATATTTGCTGACGTGGAAAAATACTTAAGTTAGAATACAGAGCAAAGAGAGAAGGTAACCAAACAATTCTAGTTTTCATTTAAATTAAATGTGCATGTATGAATATACTAAACACTCATGAACATAAACACCAAAGCTCAGAGCCAGAAAAAATATCTGAAAGCAAAAAAATCAAAATATGGGGCTTCCCTGGTGGCACAGTGGTTGAGAGTCTGCCTGCCGATGCAGGGGACACGGGTTCGTGCCCCGGTCCCGGAAGATCCCGCATGCTGCGGAGCAGCTGGGCCCATGGGCCATGGCTGCTGAGCCTGCGCGTCCGGAGCCTGTGCTCTGCAACGGGAGAGGCCACAACAGTGAGAGGCCCGCGTACCGCAAAAAAAAAAAAAAAAAAAATCAAAATGTTAATAGAATTTAGTTAGGAGATAACAGAGGTCATTTAAATTTTATTCTTTCTACTTATTTGTAGTGTATAACTTGCTTTATATTTAGTTTTATTATACAAATAGTTATATTTGTAATAGTTACAAATATAACTGTATAATAAACAAAACTAAAATGAGTTTTGTCATATATACTGTCTTACTGACCACATGACCCTGAGCCCCTGTGAAAATGAGCCTGTCCCCAGAGGTGACAACATCCACAGGAAGGAGGGAACTGTGGGGCAAGGTCTGGTTCCCTCATCGTCTGCCTCTGTTTACGGACTCTCAAGGGGAACATTTTTTTTTTAGTCTTACCACTCGGCATGCAGGATCTTAGTTTCCTGACAAGGGATTGAACCTGTGCCCCCTGCAATGGAAGCTCAGAGTGTTAACCATTGGACCACCAGGGAAATCCCTTGAGGGGAACTTTTAGTGGGAAACTTGGTCTTGGCTATTGTGTGCTGAGGGTGGAAGGCACAGTCAGGAGACAAGGTTCCAGTCCACTGCTGTCACTCACAATCCCAGAGGCCTGGGCAAGTCATGTACCTTCTCAGGCCACTTTACTCATCTTTGAGAGGAGGAGGAAGAAGCAGAAGGGCCCTAGAGAGCGTGGTCACCCTACTACCCTGCCATTCTCTAAGTTCCAAAGAAAAGGGATTTTTCTGCCCTAGATCAGGATAGAGGAGAAATCAGCAAATCCCCAAGGATCAGGGGAAAGCAGGCTCTGGTAGAGATCAGCTGAGTGTATGCACAGAGCCAGTGAGGACTGAAGGGCCTGTGCTGGGCGTCAGGGGGGAGCGTCTCCCTAGCTGGGGCCGGTGGTCACCCCCACCCACACCTCGCTCGCAGACACCCTGCAGGGAGCTGCCTCCCCCTCCTCTAGTCTGTGGGGCTGACCCGCTCATCCCACCTTTCCTCCATCGGCTGCATCACATTTTCCACTGAAACAGGAAGGGCTCTGGATGTGGGACACCAGCCCCATGGTGCTCACACATCAGGAGGATGGTGACCTGTCTCAGGGACACCAAGTCTGGAATTTGCTCCTCCTGTGACACACCTGCCCCTGTCCTGAGGCCCTGGTGATCAATATCAGGTACCTCATTTAATTTTCACTGCAACCTTGCCAGCTACCTGACAATGATTATCCTTAGGACCATTTTACAATAGAAGCAGCTGAAGCACAGTGAGGCTAAGTTGGTTGTCCCAAGGTCACACTGCTAGCAAGTAGAATGACCAGGAAATACTTAAGCCGAGGTCAGCTGACTCCAAAGTGCCCACACTTAGCCACTCTGTGATTCTAAACCCCATATGGGATTGACTCTCAATAAACAATATTCCTATTTCCCATTGTCTTCAAAGTGCTCAGGCTGAGGAGAGGCAACATCTTGTGTGCATAAACTGATTGCATATTTCACTGCACATCCAGGGCAACCTACCTGTCCCTCCCTCTTCTGACAGAGATGAAAACTCAAACTCACCCTCCCCACCCACTTCTTAGACACTGGAAACCAGGTGTGCACCAGGACCTGCACTGAGCACACCGGGCATCACAGGCACCCCCAAATGTGCACTGTAGCCCACCCCCCAAGTAAAGCTGCACTGTCACCCACCACCACTGGAGGTTCGGAATTGGGTTTGTGGCCAGAGAGAACGGCTTAGGGGCCACCAAAGAATATTAAAATCTCTTGTTCTAAAGTTTTTAAACAAAACTCTGGATGGTGGGAGATGAGGGCAGGGCAGTCTCCTGGCCCCACCCAGATTCAGGAAAGAAAGAGACGGGGGATACAGGAACAGACAGAAACAGGGGGATTTTGAGGACCACCCCACCTCAAGGAGGCATAGACCGAGACAGGAGACTAAATGGGGAACAGAGAAGCACAGAGAAACTCTGAGATGCCCTGAAAAATATATTAGAGGAAGAGGTGTGTGAGGAATTCGTAGAGTGTCACCCTTGCACAGGGTGTTGAGTACAGGACCTCAGCTGAGCAGAGCTCAGCTGTCTACTCTGGAGCGTAGGTCAGTGGTGAGCGGGTCATGCTGGGTTGTCTGATGAAGCATCAGGGCCAGCAGCCCTGCCCGATTCTTCATGGCTGTGCGCACCTTGTGCTCCTGCTCAACCAGCTCTTCCAGCTTGAGCAACTGTGGGGGGCAAGCATGAGAAGGGCCTTCTAGGATTCCATCCCGCCTCTCAGCCCCTAAGGGGCGTACCATGTAATGTACCATGTAACGTACCACGTAACATACCATGCACACGCGCTCTAGGTCCACCTCGGCACGTCTCAGCTTCTCCCAGCAGTAGTGGTGATTGCACAAGCGTTTGGGGAGGCAACAGAAATTACCGGTGGGCTCAAAGATGTTTTTCACTAGTGGGCAACCGCACACTTCTTCATCCGGTACCTGTGGGGAAGAATGAAAGATGATGAGGTACGTGAAGGGTGGCATATGGAGGGTGATCAGGCAGGCAGGATGCAAGGAAGAGGGGAATAGAGGGCAGGCAGGAAGGAAGGAGAGGAATGGGGAGTGGTGACCTAGCAGGGGGAAGAGAGGAATTCAGTGATTAGGTAAAGAAGAGGGGGCCAAAGGGGGATGATCAATCATGGAGAATGGAGGAAGAAGTTAAGCAGGGATGTAGGAATGGAGGTGATCAGGCAGGAAGGACGGAAGAACAGAAAGAGATCAAACAGGACGGAGAGGAAGGATGGAGGGGGGGTCTGACAGGGAGAAGTAGATGAATGAGGGTTGGTAAAGCATGGGGGAGGTGAGGAATAAGGCTGGGAGGGTGAAAGGGATGGGGGCTGATCAAACAGGGAAGAAGAAGGGATTTAGGACATGACAAGCAGTGAGAAGGCGATTGGGGAAGTGAGGCAGGGAGAATAAGAATGGAAGGAAGTCAGCAAGTGAGAAGAGAGGAATTGAGGGTAACCATGCAGGGAGGGAGGGGGGATTGTGGGGTGGTCAGGCAGGGGCTAGGAAAAGAAGGGAGATGAGCAAGCAAGGAGAAGGGAAGAATGGGGAATGGTTATGCAGTGAGGAGCAGAGGAACGGAGGCTGGTCAGGCAGAGGGAGAGAGAAATGTTGGGGTGCGGGGTCAGGCAAGGAGATTATGAATAAATAAACAGGCAGGGAGAAAAGTAAAACTAGAAAGTGATTGGGCAGTGGGGAGGGGGGTGTAGGGGAGGTCAGGAAAGGAGGAGGGGATACATAGGGATTGGTCAGGAGGCATGAAGGCAGTCAGGCAGAAGGAAGAAGGAATAGGAGGCAATCAAGCACTGGAGGACGAGAGGAAGGTGGTCAGGTAGGGAGAAGGGGAGGAATGGAGGGCGATGAGGTAGAGAAAGAAAAGTCTCACCTTGGGGTCCTTCGAGTGCTCAGGGCATAACACCTGGAGTCGCTTACAGTAGCTCTTACTCCGTGGGTCGTAAACATCACAGAAGAGCCTTGCGGTTCTGGGGAGAGGTGAAAGTGAGGTGCTAAGGGTCAGGAGGAGGCTGGTCCCACCCTGAACCCTGCCCACACTTTGTCCCCAACCCCACCTATACCCTGCCGCTAATCTGCCCACCTCTGTCTCTGAGCCTACCCACATCCTGCCCTTGATCTTGCCCACCCTGCTCCTGACCTTGTCCACATCGTGCCTTTGACCCTGAGCAGCACTCACACTCACCCCTCAATGCGAGTGGGGTACATGGACGTGAAGGGCGATTTGCGCTCATACTGGGGAAAAAAGAGTACAAATGGGAGGAACTATAGACACACACTGCGTAACCTCCCATGAAAAAGCCCCAAACAACACATTTGCTCCCTGTGGACCCTACGCTCCTGTCTGCTCAGCCGATGTCCCCCCCTCACCAGTGGCTGATGCCCAAATCTTGGCCCCTTTACTGGGGGTGGAAGAAAAGCACAAATGGGTAGAGCCATGGATGTGTGTTGTATTCTCTTCTACAACAAATACCCGGGCACCAAACCTGCCCCCCTCCTCATGGACCCCACCCAGCCAAAAACACCCTTGCCCCATCTTCCCCCAGCCAATGCTCCAACCTTGGCGAAGCAGCGCTCCATGTGGCGCAGGGCAACCTGCGTATTGATGGGTTGCCCGCAGGAGACACAGAAGATCTGCAGGTTGACGCTGTTCCTGCCATGCTTGTCACTCTGCATAGGACAGTAGAAGGGCCAGTAAAGCAGTGCAGGGTGGGGACGGCAGGGCAAGATATCAGGCACCTTTCTGCTCCACCCCACCCATTCCCACTCACCTCTTCATCTTTGCACACAGCCTGCTGCTTGCCACGCTGAATGATGGCCTCAAGTTCATGGAAATGGCACTCTAAGTCCTTCAGGCGGGTGTGGGTGTCCTGCTGCTCACGGTGGATGCGCTCGAGCATTTTCTTGCCATGCTCCTCAGCAATGCAAGGGCTCTTCTGCCACTGCTGGATGCGCTTGGGCAGGATCGCATAGATGCGGCTGGAAGGGGAGACAGCAAGAATGGAATGCGTATGTGGGGGCATCAAAATAAGAAGAAATGGATGAGTGGCCGAATGGTGGATGTTTAGGATAATGAATGGTAGATGAGTGAATGTTGGTGAATGCGTGCTTGGATGGTGGATGGTTGGGTGCATGGCTAGACAGCTGGGTGGGTAAGTGACTGTTGAGGGTGAATGAGTGGGTTGGTGGATGGAACGTGGATGGGTGGTTCAGCGGGTCGGTGGATGTAAGGGTGGATGGATAGGTGGGTGAGTGGACGAATGGTGGAGGATACATAGGTAGCGGGGTAGATGGACTTACAGCTGGCATAGATCATGCCCTACTTTATTCCCTGTTGCTTAACCTCCAGGTGCACTCACGCAGCTGCCAGCTTCATGCCACAGTCGTCCGAGCAGTACTTGGAGCCTGGCCGGGTGGGGTGCACACAGTCAGGCCCCAGGCACTGCCGCAGTGAGGCTGGGTGCTCGGCACCTGACTGCTCTGGGTCTTCTGACTTTTCCATGAGCTTCTGCTGCTTCTCCTTCTGTGAGACAAGAGTGGTCAAAGCAGGGGCAGGGGAATCAGTGTCAGCCCCCTAACCCTGTATTACTACCTTGCATTCTGCCCCCAACCTCTGCCTCCATGCCCCCCATTCCACCATTTCTGTCACCTTCCACTCCACTTTTTTCTTCAAATTCTTCCTTTTCTTCGTATCCATTGCCTGCTTCTGCAGTGCAGAATCTAGGAATGGGAAGTCCTCAGTGTCATTCATCCAGGGCTGTAGGCGAGAAAAATGCTGACAGGTCTCCCCAATTTGTTTCTTAAATAATCTCTGGACACTCCGTGCCGCCTCTCTCTTCATTGCTGAGCCTCCCTGCCTTCAATGTCCTTACCCTTCCACGCAGGGGCCCTGCCATACACTCATCAGGCTTTGATTGTCAAGAATCTCGTATATAAAAGTCCTGGTATAAGCTTCAGTACTGAGGCAGGTCCTTTTCAGACAACAGCTGGTGTATGGCCTCCTTTCCTGCCGATGGCATTGCCCCCACCTGGTACTTCTGGGACAGCTCAGACTTCTGTAGTTGAGGCAGGTGTGATCGAGTGAACAGTTGTCAGGGGGACTATGGCAAAGTCTCTGAGAGTATCACAGTTAAGAACTGACGGGCAGACCCTCGCACCAGCTCCATTCCCCCAACCACCCTGTGTCCTAGATTCACCAGAGACCAGGGATTATAAGTAGCGCTCCTGTGCTGATGGAAGGAGGGCTCTGGGTCAGCACTAAGTGGGTGGGGATGGGCTCACCCTGCCCCAACACTCCTGGCCTCACCCTCTGGCCACTGTGGCTGGGGCCCACAGCACCTGCCTGGATGCACTAGGTCTTGCCTGCCTGGGAATGACTGGCACCACCTGGCCCTGCTTGCCCACCTTATCCAGACACACTTGGCTAGTCCATCTGGCTGCATCTTGCCCAGTCGAATTCATAAGGCCCTGCATATCCACCCAGAAAAGCTAGACTCCACCTCCTCACACTTAGAGGGCTCAGCCTGCCTTGTCCACCCTCCAGGACACACCTGCTACCCTGCTTGCCCTACACCATGGTCCCAGACAAGCCTCCTCTGCCCAGCCGGCCCAGCCCCTCAGACATGCTCCGCCCACCTTTCTGTCCCGCCCAGTCTGCCTAGTCTCTCCAGGCTCCACATGCCTGACTCTGCCTTCTTGGACACACTCTGTGTTGCCTTAAGGCTCCCAGCCCTGTGGGTCCCATGCGCTGCCAGGCCCTGCCCGCCTCCCAGACTCTCAGCCTCATATACCCCTCCCCACTTCCTGTACATACTCTGCTCTGCCTTACCTCTCACATGCTGAGCCATGCCAAGCCCTGCCCCCTCCCCCACTTGCACGTGCCACGCTGTGCGCTGTCTGCCCTGACTCACTCACCTAGAATAATTTGACAGTCTTTATTCTGAAAACTACTCCTACCTGAACCCAGTAACGCCTGCTAAAATATATAAATATACAAATGTTTTTAAATCTTTGCGTGCATTTGCACACACACGCAAATCATTACTCTCAAAGATTAAAAGAGCAAGCACACACACAAAGAATACACACGTTTTGGTTAAGACAGTTATCAACCAGAGAACACATACTAGTTTCGAGCTACAGATGCAATATTAATAAAAACTCACCCTGGCCTTAGTCTTAAAGGAAGTCTGAACACTTTCCAATGAATAAGCATCACACGGGGCACAGAGAAGTCGCGTTAGAAACAAAAGCCTTAACTTTTGAAAATTGAAAAGGCATTTCTAAACTCTTGGTAAAAAAAATAATAATAACGGAAATTAGAAAATACTTAGAGCTTAACGAAAACAATACATACCCAACTGTGGTCTCAGCTGACAATATAAGAAGACAGAAAATAATGATCTGAGCGCTCAACTCAAATTCGAACAAGTCCCCATACTGCCTCCAAAGACACCCATTATCAACCCCCAAATCCCCTTCGATGACACCCTCACCCACCCCTCCGTCTTCAAAGCCCTCACAAGATACCTCAGCGCCCGGAAGGCGCTACACGGAGGAGAGCTTCAAGGCAGCTGAGGTAAAAACGGCAGCAAAGCGACTTCCGGTCCGGTATCGACCTTAGCGCCACCCCTTCCCGGGAGTACTGTGTTTGCACTTGCTCCAGACCCTTAATATCCGAGCTGCTGTACAGCCCGAAGTTTGAAACAAATGGTTACAGTGAAACAATAGTTGAGTACACGCTGTTCTGTGCGCCATGAAGGATACACTTGTTTCTTTTGACACCAGTGCCTCCCTGTTTCACACATCAGGGTGATCTTCACCGCATTATTGTATGTGGCAGGAAAAATGATCCCTTTACCATTTCCGATTATTTTGAATAATTTCATATTCGTACCATTTTACTATCTGCTATTTCAGTCATGAGGTAGGTAATGAGAAAAACAAAGAAAAACAAGTAAATCAGCTTTTAGAAGTCGAGAAAGTAGAAAAAGATTTATGGAAAGGCAGGAAAATAGAAAGAAAAATGTAAGAAGGTAGTAATAAGTTCATATTTGAAATTTATACTTTATTACATAATCAGTAATAAAAAATTGTCAATGGGGTAAACTCTCCAGTTAAAGTCAGAGATTGTCATTTTGGATGAAAATTAACAAGTCTAGCCATATGCTGTTTATGCCAAACCTGGCAAATCATAAGGCTACAGAAACGTTTGAAATAAAAGGATGGAAGGAAATTTGCCAGGTACATGCTAATCAAAATAAAGCAAGGTCAATTATATTAATATCAGACTAAAAATACTAAGACAAAAAGTATTAATTGGGGTTCAAATGGTCATTCTATAATGATTTGATTCACCATGAACATGTAAAAATTCCAATCTTATATAATACATGATTAAAATGATGTAAAATGAAAATAAAGAAAAATATATTAGTAAAAGTAAAACAAAAGTAAAATAGAAAAAAACATTATCATTGTGAAAGATTACAATCACACTGCTCACCTTTCAGGACTCAGCTTTGGCATCACCGTCTGGGAAGCTCTCTCTGCTTCCTTTCTATCTGGATGACCAGCCTCTCTTCTGAATGAATTTGTGGACATAATTATATAGCAAGAATGTTTCTTTTATTTTAATCTTGAAATTAAGAAGTAAATGGAGGCATTGTCTGAACCCCTCACACCTGTTTTGTCACACCCATCTTCCTCAACTAGAAATGAAGGCAGGGACAATGTTGGTCTTGCTCACTACTGGTTGCGCAGTGCCCAGCTTACACATGACACACAAGAGTGTCCAGTAGCTACTGATGATCAGGTGCCTTGCCTGGTGTTGTTGCAAAGTGGCAAATTACTGCAATTTATCTGGCTGCATATTATTCCTTGAAGATAAGAGCAAATAAATGCTGTAATTTACACTAGAGTTGCATCTAACTAATCATCATGTAGAAGAGCAAAGTTCAAAAATGTTAAGATGTTGCTGTTAAGAAGCTCTTGTCCTGGTTCGAGCCTAGCCTCTAAAGACAGTATCCCCTGCTAAATCTTCACAGTTTTTATCAAATCCAGTTTAGGGATTGGGGCAAGAGGTGAGAAATTCGAGCTGAACTAAGAAGTAGTCTGCGAGCTCTAAAGAAAGCATTACTACCTCTCTATGGCTGTGAATGTTTATAAGCACTACTTGTTTTGTCCCAGCTAAACTTTTAACTTCCCTCTGAGTTATTTTTCATCACTGTGGCTCATTCAAAGAACCTCGGACAGCGTTTTGCTCTTCACCTCTGACTTCAGACCTACCTCTCCAATATCTCCTGTCTCTTTACTGCTGATTTCTTTCATTCCCAGTTCCAAAGCCCTAGTTCAGGTTTCCTGTATTTTACATTATAATGAACTCCCACCTCTGACATGTGGCTGGCTAATCCATTTTGCCTCCAGGGTTGTCTTCCCAAAGGGCCACAGATGAAAAAATTATGTCACCATTCTCCTTGGGAATCTTCCCTGGATTCCCAGGGTATTCAGAATCAGTTCTCCACTCTGTGGTGTGCCCATCAAAGTTCTCTATGACAGGGCCCCACTTTCCTGTGATAGACAAATCCTCTTCCCAGGCCCTCCAGGTGTCAAACACTCAGGACATCCTGGATAGTCACTCTCTTGTCAATGCAGCATGGGCTTCCACATTCCAGGCCTTTGCTCAGGCTTGTCCTTCTCTTTTGCTTAGTCCTGCTCACCCTTCAAGACTCAGCTTTGGCATCACCATCTGGGAAGTTCCCTCTACTTCCTTTCCAACCAAGTGACCTGCTTCTCTTCTGAATGCACTTGTGGAAATAGTTATAATAGTGAGTGGTGTTCCTCTTATTTTAACCTTGGAATTATAAAGGATGGGGGAGAGTTGCCTGTACTTGTCTGTTTTGTATTTGTCTGCTTTTCCCTGTCAACTTTCTGCTTATCTTTCAACGTTAAGCTCAGGTGCCTGCCCCACTGGGAAGCCTTCCCCAAACCCCTTGCTCCTCCTTTTTCAGTTTTCTCACAACACCTCTGTCATTCTGCTTTGTGTCACTGTGTGGGTTGCAGGTTTCTCTCCTCTACTAGACAGTTAAGGCAATGCTGGAGTGTGAAGGACTCCCAGCACAGTGTTCCTACAACAGTTGTTGGTGATTCATATATTGGATGTTATAAAAACCAAAGTTTTAAGGTTTATTTTAAGAAATAGTCTTCACAAAGTGAGAGAGTGGCATGGACATATATACACTACCAAACGTAAAATAGATAGCTAGGGGGAAGCAGCCGCATAGCACAGGGAGATCAGCTCGGTGCTTTGTGACCATCTAAAGGGGTGGGATAGGGAGGGTGGGAGGGAGGGAGACACAAGAGGGAAGAGATATGGGAACATATGTATATGTATAACTGATTCACTTTCTTATAAAGCAGAAACTAACACACCATTGTAAAGCAATTATACTCCAATAAAGATGTTAAAAAAAAAAATGATAAAGGGAGTCCTGAAGGTTGAAATGAAAGGACAATAGAGAGTAACTTGAAGCCATATGAAAAAATAAAGATCTCAGTAAAGGTAAATACATGGGCAATTATAAAAGGCAGAATTATTGTAACAATGCTGCATAACCACATTGTTTGTTTTCTACATGATTTAAGAGACTACTACATTAAAAAAAGCAATTATTAATCTAGAAGCTACTATAATTATAACTTTGGTTTGTAACTCCACATTTTGTTATCTTCATAATTTGACAGGCTAATGCATTCTTTAAAAATTATTAGCCTAAGTTATTGAACACACAATGTATAAAGAAGTAATTTTGTGAAATCAACAACTGAAAGAGGTGGGGATGG